TAGTTTGTAATTTTAAAAGGAATTCGTAAGATTTATTATAAATTTTAACGAGAGTTCGAAAGAAATAAAAAAATTTCACTAAAATTAGGCAATTTGTACCACGTTGTCATATGATTGATGATCGCACCATTTTGAAAACCGTGATAATAACCAATATAAATTTTATAAAATTATAAAAATTTTTATAGCATGATTATTCTTTATTTATTTTATAATGACATTATTAATTTTTTAATTTATTTGCAATAATTTTTTTATATCAAATCAGATGGTAATTGAAATTAAGTATCTTTATCAATTTTATCAATTATATAACTATAAAAAATGAATGTTTAATTTTAAGATTTATGGTAATATTAAAAATAATATAAAAATTAACTTTTTTTTAAAGCTTTGATAATAATAGCAATAGTTTTAGTATTAGTGATAAATAATAGAAGCAATAACTTTGGTGACAGTAATTTTAATAGTAATAGCTAAAATTTCACATAAGCTGAATTAGTTCATGAGTCTTATGAGCTGGCTTGTTAAGGTAACTCATAAGCTAATCAAGCTGACTTATATTGTGGATTGACTGTAATATAGCTTAGCTTGTCAGATTGGATTTTTCAAAAAAATCCAAAGTGTTTCAGTTAAAAAAACACATCTGAAGTGTTAAACTTTAAAGAAATACTTTCAAAGCACTTCCTTTGAAGAAAATTACTTTTTAAGCATAAAATTTAAAGAAAAAATGCTTTTAGAGCATTTATTTAAAGAAAAATACTATTAGTATGTTAAAATTTTAAAAAAAATGCTACTAAAATATTAGCTTTAAAAATAACATTATTAAAGTGTTTTCTTTAAAGAAAATGCTACTGGAATATAAACTTTGAAAAAAAAATACTTCTAAACCTTAATTTTAAAAAAAATGCTACCAGAGTATTAGTTTTGAGAAAAACATTAACTTGCTATCAAAGCATTAAAACTTGAAGAAAAATACTACTGATGTATTTTTCTTTGAAATTTATACTCTGATAGCATATTTTTTAAAGGACATGCTTTAATAAAATTATTTTTAAAGCTAATACTTAAGTAGTATTTTTAATACTCTGATAGCATTTTTTTGAAGTTAATACACTAGTAGTATTTTCTTCAAAATTTAAGACATTGGTAGTATTTTTCTTTAAAAGAAACATTCTGAAAGTATTTTTCTTCTAATTTTACGTTTTGGAAGCATATTTTTGAAAGTAATGTTTTGTAGTATTTTTCTTTAAGATAAACATTTTAAAAGCATTTTCTCTTTAAAAAAAAGCATTTTGAAGACATTTTTCTTTAAGATAAACATTCTGGAAGTATTTTTCTACAGAGAAAAACATTTTAAAAAAGTTTCCCTTAAAAGAATTATTTTAGAGATGTTTTCTCTTGAAGAGAAATATTTTAGAAACCATTATTTTAAAAGAAAACTCTTCTCAGAACATATCTAATCTCTGAAATATTTTTTCAGATTTTATTAATAATATAAATATAAATTAGCTCATTTGGCTTGCAAGTTGGCTCAGCTTGTTACATTTTTGACTCAAGCCAAGCCAAGCTAAGCTGAAATAAATCAGCTCAGCTCAAGCCAATTGTCAAGATAATTCAAGCTGGTTTATGCAGAACTTTAGTAGTAATAGCATTGGTGGTTGTGGTAAAAGCAAGCAGCAACAACATTGGTATCGCATTATTTTAAAAATAACAATAAAATTCAATAAATTATGCTTTATTAGTTTTTATGCAATACCAAATAATGAATGATCTTAAAAACCTTTAAAAAGGTCTGTATATAGCTATAATAAAAATTATTTCTTCTATAAAGTAATAATTAAAGTATTTATTTTATAATGAGTTAAAGATTTCTGCAAAATTTGAAATATGAAAGAAAGTAGAATCCAAAGTTATCGTTATGGAAGTGTAAAAATTTACAGTATCGATTTTAATATGTAAGATGAATTTAATATATTAAAAAATTCGATAGTAAACTGTTATATGGGAGCCTTTGCAATAGAAAGGGGGGAAAACTGCCGGAAAAATCAAAATTGAGTTTATGCTAAATTTGAACATATTTCAACCTAAAAATCATATTTGGCACATAAAAGTAAAATTAATTTTTCCCGGGCCTTTGCAATAGAAAGGGGATATGATCGATCTTACCTTACCTCAAACTTACTTAGTTTCACTGATTTTTGCGCGTTCTGCTTAAAATATTCCTTGCTATTTTCGAGTTTTTTTTTTTTTTTATTCTGGTTCATAATGTTTTGCGTTGGGTTTTCACAATTAAGACCAACATTTGTTAGAAATGCTCGAAACTTGTTTTTAAGGGTTATGTCAGCAAAGGCTTCAAGTATGGTTTTGTTTTTTTGCTTGTTTAAACGTGGTCATGAGTTCATTATTCTTTATTTAGGCGTGCCAAAGTACGACTGGGAAGACCCACTTTTATTAGAGTATCAACTTACAGACGATGAAAAAGCCATAAGGTAACATTTTATATCATATACACTATATTGCACTATTTTATAAATTAAATTTTATACATATTTAGAAATACTGCACGAGAATATTGTCAGGATAAACTCTTCCCACGAGTATTAGAAGCTTATCGACAAGAAAGTAATTATTTATAGTCATTAATTTTATATATAAGTAAAGATACTAAAAAGTAAAAAAACATTGACTCAATAGAATTCGATCGTGAAATTCTGAGTGAAATGGGATCTTTAGGTTTACTAGGGTCTACTATTCAGGGATATGGTTGCGCTGGTGTTTCTTCAGTTGCATATGGGCTTATTGCTCGTGAAGTCGAAAGGTATTTAAATATATAAAAAAAAAGTTATTTTAATTATTTCTGATTTTTTGATCTAAATTTATTTAGAGTAGACAGCGGGTATCGATCTGCTATGAGTGTACAATCGTCACTTGTTATGCACCCGATTGATGCTTATGGTACTGAAAAGCAAAAAAAAAAATATTTACCCAAGTTAGGTAGGCTATTTAATTTACAATACATTACAATACATTATTATATATATTTAAAAAAACGCGTTTAATCAATATTTTTAAATTCTTCGCATAGCAACGGGTGAGATGGTTGGTGCTTTTGGGTTAACAGAACCTAATCATGGTTCTGATCCAGCCGGTATGCAAACATATGCACAAAAGGGAAATGGTGTATATGTTTTGCGTGGATCGAAGACGTGGATTACAAATTCACCGATTGCCGACGTTTTTATTGTTTGGGCAAAGACTGAAGATAAAAAAATTCGTGGTTTTATATTAGAAAAAGTATGGCAAATATTTACTATATTAATTCATAATTCCCTGAAAGTCTGATTGACATTTTTCGTTTCTCTAATTATGATAAAGGGAATGAAAGGATTATCAGCTCCAATAATTAAAGGTAAATTGTCTCTACGGGCTTCCATAACAGGAATGATTATGATGGATAATGTAGAAGTTCCTGAAGAGAATTTACTCCCAAACGTTGAAGGATTAAAGGTAAGCATTTAAATTACAATAATTCTCTTTCGAAGTATGTCTTATTTTCAAATTATCTTTATAGGGTCCATTTGGTTGTTTGAACAATGCACGTTACGGTATATCTTGGGGTGTTCTCGGAGCATCAGAATTTTGTTTAGCTCAAGCTCGAGAATATTCTTTGAGTCGTTATCAATTTGGGACACCATTAGCTAGATTTCAATTAATTCAGAAGAAATTTGCTGACGCTAATACTGAGGTACAGTGATATCTCTCGTAATTATGTATTACAATTTTTTATTTGATTCTTTTTTGCCTTTTCCAGATTTCCATCGGCCTCCAAGCTTGTCTTCAAGTAGGTCGATTAAAAGATCAAGGTAAAGCAGCACCTGAAATGATATCTCTCATTAAACGTAATTCATGCGGTAAAGCATTAGAAATTGCGCATAATATGAGAGACGTTTTGGGTGGCAATGGTATTAGTGATGAATATCATATTATTAGACACGAACAGAATTTGTGTACAACGAATACTTATGAAGGTAAACTATTGTTTTGAATAATCATGTTATTCATTCTTTTTTTTTATCATTTTCTTATTTTTGTTGTATCTGATTTATTATTAGGAACACATGATATTCATGCTCTTATATTGGGAAGAGCTATTACAGGAATTCAAGCATTTACAGCTTAAAATAAGTTCTAATGGAATATTATTATTTAATTAATTTAATTATTTGAAATATTTAAGCAATCGATTTTGACGGACAAGTGAACGATTTTAATAGTTAGAATTTGTATTTTTACCATTTCATAGGTTATAATTTTCGTTTTGATATTAGTATTTGGGGATGTATTTATCAGAAATTTTTTTTTCGCCAGTTCTTTTCGATTAATATTAGGTTAGTAGCATAGATAGACAAATTATTTCTATTTAACCTTTTTTGAGGTCTAGAAAATTTGACTACTTTAGTCATTACATTGCTCTAATAAATCGAATCCTTGCTAAAGTGTTTTTTTTTTTTTTTTAATAATTTAAACAATTTCTGATTTCTAGACAGTATATACAAAAAAAACTAAATAAATAGGCTTTTTTTTTTCTTTTTTTTTTAAAAAAAAAAAAAAAAGGAAATGAATGTTAAAAAAAATGGAATAGGTGTTTCTAAAATATCTAGAACCTTTAGCAATCAATGCGTAAAGTTTAGTTATTAATACAAAAAAAAATAAAAAAAAAATAAAAATAGAATATAACGGAAAAAAATATCTAATATTATTCCTTAAGGTTCCTTATTTTAAAATAAATAAATAAATAAGTAAATAATTTTTTGTTCCGAAAAGAAAATAATGTTCTCTATAATTCATATAATTCCAAAGTAATTTAACTAAATAATCATGAAAATAAATCCTTCCCTTAACATTCATTAAATATCTTGGATATTTTTTTTTTTTTTTTTTTTTTTAAAAAAAAAAAAAGGCAAAATATTAACAACAGTCTAATATGTAGGTTTTACGTGTATAAACATTCCTTTTCGGTTTTTGTTACGTTCTTTTATATATAACATAGCATCTTCACTACATCCTCCTTCAAATCTAACTTCTTTTAACCGAGGATGATTTTCTAACTTCATTATATATTCACGGGTTAAATTTTTAGGTTCCATGAATAATTTCTCCAAATTACGAAATTTATATAATACATTTATTAACGACTATGTATGTGAAAAAGGAAAACATTAATGAAATTAAAAAAAAAAATGAACATCATTGATATTATGATAAGAAACTTTACTTACATTTGGATATAAACCAGTAATGTAACATTTAAGTTCTAATTCTCTCAATTTTGGACATTTCTCTGCAAGTCTTTCCAACAATCCCAAATCAAATCTTCGATATTTCTTTCCCTCAACCGTATTTGTCTCAGGATCATGTCTACTATGAATCTGTAAAACTTGTAATTTTGTATTACCCTGCGTTGCTAATGTTGAAACAATCTTTGCTGCAATGATACGGGGATAATCACCACTTATTTCTGTAAGGAATTTACACTTACGTACAAGTAATGTTAGGGAACGTGAAGTAACCTTTCTACAATTATCTAATCCAAATTTCACTAAATTATGACAATTATTAGCAATTTCTATTATGCTTGCATCTGTTAATTTTGGAATCCTACACATGTTGATATTCTTAAGATTATTATTAACATTACGAGCTAAAGCGGAGACAGACGCATCAGTTAATTGTTGACAACAAATTAGACCAACAAATTCCAATTTTAAACAACACTCAGCAATTGGTAAAAATGCTTCATCAGTAACTGAATCACATCCAAATAAGTTTATACGTCGAAGGTTAGTCTGATTTGGAGCCAAGGCTTTCGTAAATGAGGCCCAATCATATGGAGGGAGAAATAAATTCAAGGCATCTAAACTTGGAAATTGTGAACCAATCTCCTGTTGAACATTATTATCAGGATACTCTGAAAATGCTACCGATAACCATCTCAATTTCTTACAAAAAGGTAAAAGAATATTTAATGCTGAACATGATACCGTCTCACAATGAAGGATCTTTAAATTCTTAAATGTTTCTATTAGCATCTCTGCCATTTCGTCATCTATATGAACATTAATGTCTAATGCAAAAATTGGACATTTAACTCCAATCTCTTTAATCAAGCTACGTGTCCGGGAAACTGCGTCATCAGAGTAATCTCCATTTGGCCAATAATTCATAAATATCAAAAAATGACGCATATTCTGTATTTCAAGTTGTGTTAATTTTATACAATGTCCATTGATTATAGGTGAAAGAGCTATATTTAACCATTCAATGTTATAACATGGTTTTGTTGCTGCAAAACCCAATAGATTTGGATTATTTTTAACAAGTTCTGCCACCGCTTCCGCCGTAAAAAAGTTATCTGTTTGCCCTAATGTCAAATGAGTTATCCTATGGGACTTTGTTGAGAAAAGTTTAAGATCATCATTCCCAAATAATGGTTGCTCTCTATTCTTTATCGGCTCAAATACAAGTCTACGTATCAGTTGACCATATGCAAAAATAGTATTTGTCTTTCGCAATGTTCGTAAGAATAGTTTATATGAGCGAGGAGATTTCCAAATTGGAGCCTTCCATAATAGTCTCACAAGGGTCTATTATATTTTTATTTTATTTTTATTTTTTTTTAAAAAAAAAATTTTTTGAGATTCAGTCAAAAAGATCAAAAAAAAAAAAAAAAGAGAAATAATTAATAAAAATCAATAAAATTGGACTAAAAGAAATACCGCGGTCCATGTTTTATTAACAAAGAGATAAAGAAACATTTCATCTTGATTTTCATCAAAATCAGATAAAATTATGGGTAATAAATCTGCGTTAAGGAGGACAGCTTGCGCGGGAGTCGTATTCATAATGCAAATTTTTAAAAAAAATAACGAGACTAAACATAAAGATTTTTTTTTTGGATGGTGATACCTATTTATATTATAAAGAAAATAAGCCTCTTTAGAATTTGCCACCAATTGGATCTACCTCATCACAATCATCATAAGTTTTTTTGGGGGATAAATGATGACAGGATGTTCGTATGTTGTATGACAATACATGTGATAGAAATCTGATATGATGAATATTTATTTATTACATTATTTCTTTTATTGACGAAATATATCAAAGTATAAAAAAATGTGAATTCCAATATAAATAGTTCATAATCTAAAATAATTATTATTTAAAAAATTCTCCTTAATCTCGCTCCTTAATCATTCAATGCACATGACCAAGTATTTTTTCGTTAATAATCATCGCGTAATTCGATGAAAGGATAACAAGGTTCGGTTGTTTCAAAAGAAGGTGAACGAGACCAAGCCAACGATTCGTATTTACAACCGAAGAAAGCAATAATTTTTTCATTGATAAAAGGTTTTAATCTTCTCAATTCTTCTCTACATTCAAAATGACGATTACAATCTACTTGATGTAACTTCATCCAACTATAACTAGGTGATTGAAAAGGAAAGGTACAAATATCTTTAACGCATTCCTCAAATTTTGTCCTTAAATGATCAGTAGCTAAAGGAGGGAACCTTCTATCTACAGTAACGCAAAATATTTTATTTAAACCTTCAACATATTGTTGTCTAGAAACCTTTAACTTCTTTTGAGTTTGATTTGATAATTGTTCAAGATTATTTGAATCATAAACAAAATGCTCAAATTTATCTAAAACTAATTTTGATGATTCTTTATAAACAGTTGAAATAGAATAAGTCTCGGCTAATTTTAAAGCTTGTAAAGGTTCTTCTTGATAGGATCTTTTTAGAAACGCTACACAAGCTGAAGTTAAAGTTTCAACTATATATTTATCAGCCAATCGTAAAAGATTTTCTACATCTTCCCAACTTATCTCGAAAAATATATTTGGGTAAATGAACGAAAGTAATTTTTCAATATCTTTTGCAGCATCATCACGTAATTCTATACGTGCAACTGTTCTACCTGTTTGTGATATAGTTATTAATTCATCTTTTGAAGGCTGAGCTGTTGAGAACATTCCATTAAAAAATGCTGAAGAAAGAACTAGGATGATTTTGTGAACTCGAAATATTAAATTTCCTACAACCAATTCACAATCTCCATCATCATAAAAATGTACTTCGCTCTTTATCAACATTTCAAGGCAGTAATATGGAAGATGAAGAATATCAAAATAATAAAAAAAATACTTTATATATAATAAAAAAAATTTTTTTTTTTCTTTGATTTAAATATCGGATTTACTAGTTCAAAAAAAGGAGACAATGCAAAATATAATTTATATTTGTTGTTTATTACATTATTTACATTGTAAAAAAACAATGTAAACAACGAAAAAAAATATCCTCAAAAAAAAGGATAAAAAAAACCTGACTATTTTGAAACTATAAAAAACGCCAATTTACAATAGTACCCGTATTACAAAGATTATGCGTAATGGCTGTTGTAACTATCAAACGATGAATATATATAGATAGACTCTATATTATGGCGTAAGAATCTCCATATTACATGATCTTGATACGTATGTAATAACTTACTCAATATAAGGTCAAAATTCCTTAACCTTATTTTTGATGGCTTGTTGTATACTAAACTGTTGTTAAGTCCGGAACGCAGGTGTAACGAAAGAGACATATCGACTCAAATTTTGAGCGGTCGGACAACGGTATCGATCATTAAAGTGTCTGTACTTTATGATTGGCTGATATTGTTACACAGATTTTACAATTGATATTGTAAATATTTATACATGTCACGTGAATAGTCACGTGTTTACACTCTATATAGTCACACCTTTATATAAGAATCCATTTTTGCAAAATGAACTTTAAAACTTATTAATTTACCTTTATATAATCACAAATTAGTTATAGTTACTATTATCATATGATCTAAAATTACATAACATTTTTAATAGTAACTAACCCTCTCTATAATGACAGTTTTTTGATTAGTTTATATTGAAAAAATCTAATTAGCTGGTAGTTTACGATAAATAATATGTAATATGAAAATATAACACTTTTTACACTTAAAAAATGTAATATTAGAAAAATAGAATAACATACGCTTTATTCTTTGATAATTTTAATGAAAGTTTTCGCATTCTTTTTATAGCGTTATTTTTATTAATATGAATTTATGCAAATAACATTTACACACAATGTGTATATACAATTTTTTTTGCTTTTTGACCCTTTTTTAAACTAATTCCTAACTTTTCTTTGTCTTGTTTTATTAAACGAGTTTATAAATACCTTCTGACTGATCCAAATAACCTTCTAACCAACCTAAGTAATGTTATACTATAAGTGTTAGTCTTAAACATAAAATTTGTGAGTGAGCAAAAAACAATAGTAATAAAAGACATTTTGAAATTGTGGAACATTTTAATGAAAAAATCCAACTTTAAATATCGATCGTAATACCATAACAAAGATATTAAAAAATAGTAAAAAATGGAGTGTTACAATAGAAATCAAAAGTTCTAAAGAAATCTTCAGACATACAGGAGTCAAATTTCTGATACTTGATAATACTATAAATTTATGGGTAGAAAATATAACAGATAGTGTCATTTTAACAGATTTATTGATAAAAAAAAGGCAAAATTTTTTGCAAATACATTTAATATGCAAGAAGATGAGTTGGTTTTTTCCAATAGTTAGTTAGATAGATTTAAAAAAAAAAATAATATTCGTCAGTTTTGCATATATGAAGAATCAGGAAACACACTAATAGCATCCCTTTCAGAAGAAAGAATTAAGCTCTATCAACTATTAAGCCGATATTCTCTAGACTAAATATATAATGTTGATGAAACAGGTCTTTATTATAGAATATCTCCAAATCAGACACTTTTTACTAAACCAGTTCCTGATCAAAAAAGGATAAAATGCGAATTACTGTTCTTTTAGGTATAAATATTATAGAAACTGACAAATTCAAGCTATAGGTGATTGGTATATCAAAACGTCTAAGACCTCTTTTATATGTTAATTTAGACCATCTTTTAATTCACTACTGTAGGCATGGATGAATTCAAAGTTATTTAGAGAAATAATTCTTGATATAAATAGGCATTTTAGAACACAAAATAAAAAGATTTTGCTCTTAATTGATAATGCTTATTACATTTCGATCTGAATTATTGTTTGCAAGATGAAGATAATATTTCAGGCTTGGATTCTACTTTAGGTTTAAATTCTGCTCTGGATTCAGATTCCACTTCAGGTTTGGGTTCTACTTTGAGTTTTACTTTAAAAGGATTTGGTAAGTTAAATTTGATTTTTTTTTAAAAAATTTAAAAGTAAATTACAGAAACTTACTGAATTAATATTTTTTATAAAGGAAATCAAGTTTTAAGATCAAAAAGACATAATTTTACTCTGCTGGATACTCATCAACTCCAACTTACACATGTTGAAGTAACCTTTTTACAACTAAATACTACAAGCCATCTTCAACCTCTCGATGCTGAAATTATTGCAAATATTAAAAATTACTATAAACATTATTATTATCGCTATATGTTGCAATTCTTTGAAGAAGGTAAAGATATCAATAAAGAGAAAATTGATATCAAAAGAGCTATTGAATATTTTGCAAATGCATAGCATAATATAACTGAAGAAATAATCTGTAATTGTTAAAATAAAACCAGAATATTGCCTTCTTCAACTAATGAAGATATAGGTAATGCAATATAGGATCATTAAGAGACAATAAACATGAAAACAGCAAGAATCAATCAAATAATTGACAAATTTGATAGCATTTATGCTTCTCTATTAAAAAATGCAATTGATCATTTCTTTCAAGATTTAGAAAAAGAAATTCCAACTGAGACTCTTTTAAATGATGATGATTAAAGATAGGAACTGTAATTAATATGTTGCAATTTTTAATGTTGCAACTTACATTACAATTAGTTTTAACCTATATATGTTGCAACTTATAATGTTGCAACATATGTTGCAACTAATTTTAGCTTATGTTGCAACATTTTGTAAATTTGAAATCAATTGCTGTACCATCTTTAATGATGATATTATAAAATTGATTCAAGAAGAAATATATGATAATGAATATAATGATTCTGAAAAAGATTTTAATGAATCAGTACCAATATTTTTTGTTAATGTAATTAAATATTTACAAAATTGGATAACTTTTTTTGAACAACAGTCAACAAATAAATTTAAAACAGAAGATTTAGATATATTTAAAAAATATCTTAATAGTATAATAATTTGAATTGCAAGCTAGAAAGCAAATTTTAATAACTAATTTTCTTAGCAATTAGATATTAAAGAAAAGGATAATTGTATAAACTTTTCAAATTCTAAATAAAATAAATATATTCTTTTTTTAATGATGTAATAGTATTTTTATTTTAATATATTCTATGTGATTAAACAATTAACCTTTATATAGTCACTTCACATTATTTATGATATAGAGAAGATTATATAAAGGTTTTATTATATAGTCACACCTCTATACAATCATCAAATTTTGTGACTATATAGGGGTCTGACTGTACTTAACATTTATAATCAACACATTAAAAATAAAGCTTAATTTCAAAAATAAGTTTAATTTATTGAATGTATATAATAAATAGTCTTTATTTTTTATTAAAAAAAAATATAATAAATTTTACTATATTTTTTATAGAGACATTTGTTTTTTTAAATGATCCTATTACTATCCTATTGCTGTTAGAATTTATGTAATGCCTTCTTTAATGCAAATGTAATATATTCTACAGGATTACTTATCACATAGAATATTATTTTCTAAATCTTTAATTTCATTTTGCTGTTCTTTTTTGAAACATTGCAAACGATTTAGTAAAGATTTGATATAT